CAACCTCGAGGGTTCTCAACTGTTCCTGGTATTGGGCCACCAGTTGCTTCAGATGCTGCAATTCCTGGCCTCTATCTTCGTACTCTTTCTGGCGTTCATACTGAGTAGATACAGCTCGCTTTAAAATTGTGTTTTCCTGAATTAGAACTTCCAATTGTTCCTTCAGCATCATATTTTCCTACATCAAGGCAAATCATAAGTACAGCTAAGCCATTAGAAAGAAACAAGCCATTATCAAATGTTCCATCCTCAAACATCCACCATTTTTCTAAAACTAATGGAAAGGAAAAAGTGGTGGAAAAAACGAAGTTTTTACACAAAAGAAAATTACACTGGACATGCAAAATCATAAGTAATTAAAGATATCATCACACCTGGTGAAAGCTTTGGGCTGCCTCTGCTGTTGCACGTCCACTGATGGATTTCTCCAGGGCCTCAAGCACTCTTGAAGCACGAGCTTTAGCATCATCCATGTTGGAGGCACTCATCATCTCTCTAACAACGAGCTCCACCCAGTCCGCTCCATCCTTGGGAAGGTTATTAAGCCCTGATGGATCATCAGTAACTGCAACCTCTCCATTTGTTGCAGCTGAACCTGATTCAAAATATTGATCCACACCCTTTAATGTCAAAACGTGTATCAAGAGGACAAATACTTATGGATTCCCTACTTGAAAGCAAATCACAGTGGAATGAAACAAATGCTTCATAACAGAGACAAAACTTTCTAGGTAAAGCAAGTAGAAAGTCCACAGAATACTCTGCTACAACCCTTAAAACAAAATGGTTGAAGATAACCTTGTCATGAGAACACAAGAGTGTGTTAAAATCAAACTGGATACACCCATCAACGTAAGCCCAAGTTCAAGTGGTAAATTCAAGAAAATATCTACTCATACCTTGTGACTGGAGTTGCACATTTGCTTCTGAAGCTACATTAGATTTGCCTGCAGCAGAACTTAAACGTAGCTCATTCAAACTTCTGATAGCTGAATCCAAATCATCACCGCATTCTTCAAGTGCTCTCTCCAGAAGCTAGGATAATAATTCAGATATGCTTAGCAATTTGTCATCTTAATTGAGTAGACATGATACACATCCTCCAAAATTGAAGGATATTAAGATCCTTTGCCAAGAAAAGGAAAATAAAACGGATATACATCCGGATTTTCAACTACCTACGGGACATCACCAATCACATTGGGCTGTAATTGCGTTACACAATGAAGTCAATGCGATCAACTACATTGAGGGGCATTGTGCATCCGTGTCATGCATGTTAAACGCCCTGTGTACATACACACAAGCACACATATGTATACATACGCAAATATATGCTAAACGGTTACTGGCAGTCAGAAAATTAGGAATGCAACAGAGCGAATATGGCAAAAGAAATTCAAAAGAAATGATAGAGAAACATGTCATTAGACACTAACTCAACGGTGAGATACGCCACGAAATGATCATCAAGTTTTGAACCAATTATCACAAAAAATACCCCGAACACACAAACATGAAAGAGGGATTCCATTTGTAGTTTGACAATTGCGCTAAACTAATTGGAACATCAGCTGCAACTCCAATACTAGAATACCAATATTGGAGATAATCAAGGCAGAGTATGGAGAAAAGGCAATCCCTTTATTGATGGGCATCTAAATTAAGACTCGTTAATCCCTTTATTGTTAGGGTCGCATTCAAATTGGACAGTGCAGCAGCTATGTGTGATTATCCAAACACAAGACATCAACTTTATGGCTTCAAATGATGCATATTATAATAAAAACTGAATATTTAAACGTAATAAGAGAGAATTTTATTCAGCACAAAAAAATAAAAATAAAAACGAGAAAAGATGAATGAATTGTGAACCTGGTTGTCCATGTCCGGGAAAATGGCCCTGAGATGGTCGATCAAATGCGAAGCAAACGACGTCGGAGCGGGAGTCGGAGGAGAGAAACGTACAGGTGAAGAAGAAAAGCGGATTCTCTTGGATGAGGAGGAGACAGGAGGGGACGATGAGGACAGCGAGTTCTCTTCGAATATCGATGATCTCTTCCCGCACACTATGGCAGGCATGTTTTGCCTTTCACTCTCTCTCTTCAGCCTCCTCTTCCTCCACCCTCTGCCCCACGTTCTCCCTTCTCATGCAGCGCACCGTTTCGATCTTATTTCTCCCAATTTCCACCCTAATTTCCGATCCAGATCGGAACTCCCTTTCTCCTCAACTCCTATTCTTCAGTTATTATCTTCTTGTTTTTGTTCAATTTTGTTAAAATTAATTGGTTTTCTTCAAGAAGAGAGGAATTTTGTGTGGCGGTTTAATCGGTTGTGTTGTGTGTCTGATGAGCAAGCAGCCTGGCGGGTGCTTTGCTTTCTCCCATGGTTTTTTTGGCCTTTTGGGTTTCCCTCGAGACGAGCCACCGGTCAGGAAGCGATGATCGAGAAACGCCTGGGTCTAAGGAAGGACCAATTAGATCAAGCCACGTGATAGAAGGAAGTGGAAATTTATTTGGTTAGTGGGGTACGTGGTTGGATGCTATTGGGCTATGCTTGAGAGTGCATGGAAGGTCAAAGGTGGGATGTGTGTTGTTGTCATGTTCAAGTAACGGTTGACGCCCTGGATTGCAAGTCAATAAGTTGTAATTCTATCTCTCTTTCTTCTTCTTTTTTTGTTTTAAAAAAAAAAAATTATTTAAATTATAAAAAATATAATGATTTAAGAGTGGGCTAGGATAGGAGGGGGAGTAGATGGAGACTGAGATTGGATCCATTAAGGCCCAACCCAAACTCCATATATGATAGTAGTGGCAGAGGGCAAGCCCATGTTTACTTGCACCCAACCCAACTTTTTGTTTGCATGGACTCTCAACGAGGAAGTCGTCTCCAATACCCAACCAAATTATTTCAAACCCAATTAATTTGGTTGGAAGTCTCGTGTAAGGTAACATACAATTACGCATTATTTTACTAAACCGTGTCTATCATGTTATGTTATCAAATTGCCAATATGAATTATTGTTAATGGACATCGTAATTGAATATGCAGTTTCTATCATGTTATGATATTCCATTCTTCTGTTTGGAAAACTTCCCGAGACACTTCATTCTATGGTTAGATTGGATGTATAAACTCACTTGATTCAAGGTATCCTATTATATTACCTTCAACAACTTAGACATTGTTTAGAAATTAACTTACATTTCTTTCTCCAACTTACCTTAAATGAAGTGAATTAAATTCAAATTTAAGCATGATATGTAACTTAAGGGCCGGAAAGGCAAGGTAGCATCATTGGAACCACAAAAGTGCTTGAGTAATAAAATTGGGTCTAAATTAATAGACTGACCCAAAAGATGCTAACAACCTCCACTTAGTTCAAGTGATGATGGATGGAGCTTGTACTGCAATCGCCCAAGTTGGTTTTTGGCTTTTGAAACTCATGTTGGTGGAAACTAGTAAAAGATGCAGCTCCTCATCAATCACATATTCTTGGGATGAATTCTATCTCTAAACCTATCCAGCAAGGGCACCTCGTCAGTTGATGCATGCATGGTTGTGTCTCTGTACATGTGGGGGGTACTGTGAAGGATTTCATGTTATTCTTATTATGCCCAATAAAATTTCATGAGATGATAACCTATAGTTTCCATTAGCTAGGTAACTAGGTTATAAGACTTTTACCCAGATAAGATAAGATGAGATCAGATGTAGCTTGATCATATATATATATGCAAAATGCATGACCTGATTTCAGGTCCTACTACATGTTGTCCAACAGGTACCCAGTGACCAAGTAATTAGTCCAATTTGAAAAGGGTTTGGTATATTGGCAATGCAGTGCACATATGTGCATTAGCATTACTATGAATGTGAAAGCATCTCATCAGTACATCTTCATCTTTCTCCTACATCAATTATATAGCCTGGTAACTTTATACCTCTGAAATAGGATTATCTTGTTTGCCCATATGATGATGACCTTGAGTGGGCTTACACTAGTCAGCAGTACAGTCTGTGCTCTCTCTCTCTCTCTCTCTCTCTCTGGTGGGGCCTACACTGAGACCCACACACTTAGTGGGGGCAATGGGCATAAACTCCTTTCCAACAAGGCATTTGTCAAGTTGCAAAGCACAGTGTGTAGAAGAAAAAAGAATATCATCTCATATTGCTTTTCTTCACCCAAAGCATCATAGATGGAATACAATTTTGTTTTATGGTTGGTTGATGAAATGACCTCTCACCAAGCACCCCCCCCTCCCCCTCTCTCCCCCACTTACTCTTTCTTTCTTCCTTTTAAAAGGCCCCTCAAGGAGGAAAAAAAGAAAAGAAAAACCCCACCTATGATAAGCCTCCTAATTCCCACCCAAAACCATATAGGAATATATATCTACCTGCCATAGAGAGAGAGAGAGAGAGAGAGAGAGAGAGAGAGTGAATGATGGGATTGCACTCAAATATGCTCTTGACTGTCTTTCTATTAGTTTTGACCAAACAATAATACAATCAAGAATGTTTACTAATAAGAAAACTTATTTGACCCTCGATTAGGAAAGCTAATAAAGATTAATTCTTACATATTACAAACTACTTGTACGGAAAGATCTTTCAGCTCAGGTGCCAATATTGTATCAGCCTATCAGGCATACTTGATCTGCTAATAATAAACCCAAACTAATCAGTCATTTACTTTCACATATTACACACAACCTTCTCACGAGTTACATATATATTATATGTCACATGTTATAAGAATTTTTAACATGCCATTTCTAATTGATTTCCAAGTTCATTAAGGATAGCATGTCACTGATACATTAATGTTCGAGGACATGGATTTGGATGTGTAGGTTTCCCTTGATTGCCAAAACAGTTGTTAACGGTACAATGTTTGAGGTAATTTTTTGGTAGGTAATTTTGTCTAGAGAGAGAGAGAGAGAGGGAGAGAGGGAGAGAGGGAGAGAGGGAGAGGCGTTCCCATCCATCCCCCACACAAAAGGTGGTGGCAAAAAAGTTCTTTTTGTACACACTGCGATGATGGCGATGATGATGCCTGCAATCTCCAACAGCAGCAGCAGCAACAACAATACTACCAAAAAAACCAACACAAATTCTTCCCCTCTGTCTCTTTCTCTCTCTCTCTCTCTCTCTCTCTCCACACCATACCTCTCCTATCTCCTCCTCTCTGTTATTTACACTCTTAACTAAAGCATGGTTAATATCTCTATCTGTTCCATCACATCGATCCCATGCAATTATGCTGAAAACCCATGAAAGCTAAGACCTTGAAGAGCCATGGACAACAAGTGTGGGTGCTGGGCTGTCCTCAAACGCGGCGTTAGTGCTACCTGCAAGTCCTCTGCTTCCAAAGACTCTGTTAACACTATCCCTCGCACTAGTCTTGTTTATGATGCAGGTATATATTCTTTAGCTTGTGTTTTCATTCTGCAACTTTCAATATTTATGTGTTCTCTCAAAATCTTAGAATCTTATAGATTGATCTAATTATCTCATAAATGCGCCATTTGAATCTTCTTATGGGTGTGTTCTGTCTTCAATTTCTCGCAGACTTTTGATACTACCCGCTCTATCTGTCTATCTCTGTGAATTTTTCAAGCAATTCAAAACAGCTTCAATGTTTTTTTTTTATTTTTTTAAAAGTTCCGGGGGTGATTCTATACTCAGCTTTCCCCTGTTTTCTCAACAAAGTTTCAAAATTTTGTTGTTCAGAACTGTCTCCGCAGTTTTATTTGAATTGAGAAATCACGATGTAGTGGTAATTTATACTCCAGATCTCGAACCTGGTTTCTGCTGGTTTCTCCAAGATCTCTATCCTGAGCTTTATCCACCAAAATTTGCAATAATTTTTTGTTTGTTTTAGTCAAACTCAGTGGCCACTGAAGACTATGAGAGTGATTTATACTTGGTTCCTTCTCATGGATGATGGATGCATAAATTTTGTTCCTTGATTGATGGGAAACCGCAGTATTAATCCTTATAAATTTGACACGGTCTTCATGCCACTTATCTGATTAATTTCACAAACATCTGAAAATTTTGTTAGTTAACTGATCTTTTAGCTCAATTTGGTTGCATAAGTTCAGTCCTGCTGGAATGTTGGTTGAATTTTTCGGTATCTGTGAAAGTTGTATCTTGATGTTCTATTTCGAAATGTTAATCAAAGCATTAGAAAGACTTGTGATTGAAGAATTGTTGTTAAGGCTCATTCCTTCATTGCAGCAACGGAGACCAGATATCTTAACGCTAGCAATAGGGACCTCCTGCCCCCTAATGAAGCCCAATTATCCTCTGATACTCCCAATCCACCACCATCAGATGAGAAGCCTACTCGCCAGTTGCTCCAATTTACTTTTCAGGAGCTCAAATCTGCAACCGGGAACTTCAGACCGGATAGCATTCTAGGCGAAGGCGGATTTGGATACGTCTTCAAAGGGTGGATAGAGGAAAATGGAACAGCACCAGCAAAACCTGGATCAGGGATTACAGTAGCAGTTAAAAGCTTAAAGCCAGATGGTCTCCAAGGCCATAGAGAATGGGTGGTTAGTAGAATATCTGCCTTGGGTTAGTAGATTATTGCTGATAAAGGATTGTCCTTGAGATACTGAAATGTTGGAAGGTGACATGTGACAATTTGTTTGATGCAGGCCGAAGTTGACTTTCTGGGACAGCTCCACCACCCTAATCTTGTAAAGCTTATTGGATATTGCATTGAAGATGATCAAAGGCTGCTTGTTTATGAGTTTATGACCCGCGGGAGTCTTGAAAATCATCTTTTCAGGAGTGAGTGAAATGTTTTGTTGTCTGTTCTTCCTTGTCATCTTTGTTAAATCTCTTGTAATGTGGTTCATTTTGGATTCTCCATCAAAACACTTTCTAGGCATAATTAGTTCCTAACTTTAGTCACAAAATTTTGTCTTGCCGGTAGTGTAATATCACAATGAATTTCAGTTTCCTGTTAGGTTTCCCCACTGAGTATCTGCCTTCCCCATCTTTAGTGCCTGTATTCTCTCTAATAATAACGATTTAATACTTTATACTACGATATGGATGCTGATTCTGATTGTTCAAAATTTTTGAAGGGACTATACCTCTGCCATGGTCCAATAGGATTAAGATTGCACTTGGTGCGGCAAAAGGATTGGCCTTTCTCCATAATGGTCCAGAACCAGTCATCTATAGAGATTTTAAGACATCCAACATTTTGCTTGATTCGGTATGTAACTTAATACTGTTGATTAACCATGTTGATTGTTTTGCTTAAAGGATTCAACAAATTGGGTTTTCCCTATAGGAATACAATGCAAAGCTATCAGATTTTGGTTTGGCGAAAGCTGGGCCTCAGGGAGACAAAACACATGTTTCTACCAGGGTTGTTGGAACATATGGCTATGCTGCTCCAGAGTATGTGATGACAGGTAAGAAAGTCAAAGCAGATAGTTCAAAGTAATTTGAGCAGATAGTTCACATACAGTATAAGTCTTCTGTGAGAATTAGAAGTTCAGGAGACTAGCTGAAGATAGCATGTATGTTTAATGTTTACATTGGAAGAAAAACAAGTTGAACCTTATGAACAGAGCACTAGGAAAATTAAGAACATCAAAATGATCTTTCAGCTATCTGAACTTCTTTTCTTAACCTAATCTTTATTGGCCCAATTGTGATTCGCCTTTTTGGATTTACAACCTTATTAACCCAATGATCTTCATGTTGAATTTCTTGTTCCAAAAGCAATTTGAGATCTCACTAGTACAATTGTTGTTTCCTTCATTTTTCCAGGACACTTGACATCTAAAAGTGATGTTTACAGCTTCGGCGTAGTTTTACTTGAGATTTTAACAGGAAGAAGATCGATGGACAAGAAACGCCCTAGTGGAGAACAAAACCTTGTGGCCTGGGCTCGGCCACATTTAGCTGACAAGCGAAAGCTTTCCCTTCTAGTGGATCCACGCTTGGAATTGAATTACTCCATTAAAGGGGTACAGAAAGTCTCACAATTGGCTTACAACTGCCTTAGCAGGGACCCAAAATCCCGGCCTACAATGGATGAAGTAGTGAGGGTTCTTACTCCATTGCAAGATCTTAATGACCTGGCCATCTTATCTCATCACTCTCGTTTATCTCAACAAGGAAGGCGCAAGAAGAAACCTGATGGAGCTCACCAGCTCACCTACAGCCAATCTAAAAGCATCAGAGATTCACCGTTGAATACTGGCAAGCAGCAACGTAGGTAATGGGCGGTCAACCCCTTTCCTTGACTGACCCAAAAAAGGTCCTGCCTTTGCTAAATGGGTTGTGTGAGGACAGTTTTCTTGTGCTTGTATAACTTTGGGGTGTATGAGTTTTTTCAGAGCCAAAGGGACAATGGAAGAGGCTATGAAAGATGAATGATATGAGATCCTTTTTCTTTGAAGTACCCTTGCATTAGAGATCAGCTAACCCATCAATATTTGGGAACCAATATAATCATCATTCGTCATGGTTTGCCTATGTTTCAGTTGAGATATATATATATATCTATATCTATATATATATATATTGATGATATCTTGTAATTAGATAAACCTCTCATTTCTCTAAGATTTGTTATTTTCTGCAGCTAATGTCAGTCACTTTGAGTTATATTTAAAGCTGCATGCACTTTCCTTTTACATCTTTCCAGTTCTGCAGATTTTGCTGTTAATTACAAATACAAATGTATAAGTTAACATGCTCTCTAAATTTTGCTATTCAGTGTGAACCGAATAATTAATTCAGTAATGAAAAACCTTTAGGTCATACCTAAAAGATAAGCTAGCTACCAGCATCATGTATCAGCATGTTTCCTGCAAAATATCACTACTTTCCAGAGTCCACAAATTCAGATGCAAAGGCGCATGTCTTTATTCTGCGCGCATAAATTTCTATGACGTGAGCATTTTGCAAATTGGCTGGTTTTGATATCTCTCTCCTTCCTGCCCTACGTTTATTTAACCAAAAAATAAAATCGTATCTGCCTTTAACTTATTCCACACACACATATACTATACAATACAATACAAATGGGTACGCAGAAAGCGCATACAGTACGTATACTGAAGCATTCCTTTCGGTTACCAAAACTAATATGCCTGCCATCCGCAAAAGGAAAAAATGGTATGGTTCATCTTCAAATTTCTTATAAGGTTTATTATCCCATCAACCGCAATCTACAAACTCCGGAGTTTCATGATGTTAACTAAATTTTTCATGAAAGATGAGGGCAGGACAGGATCGTATTCGAATCCAGCGCAAGTTGAGTTCTATATATTTTCCAACTCTTAATTAAATTTTTCTTTGAGTTGCAGTATTTTCATTCATGCGCGGGCTTAATCAATTTATCATATATATAAACAAGTAAAGAAAGGAACAAATGGTATTTTTATGGACCAAGTCAAACGTACATGTACATTTGATCTACGTCCAATTAGCTAGTTATACACAAAAAAGAAAAATGTATCAAAGCAAAGCAGAATATTAGTCCAAGTTAATGAGTTCTGCAGTGAGTCCAAACTCATGGCTAACTATACAATTATGCAGAGTAAGACATTTAGATATCCTCCTCTCATCAACATGTTTGATCGCCTACCTACCCTTCTATAAGTCTTCTAATTAAATTTCCATGGCATCGTTGGTGCTTGAAACATTTATCGATTTCGATTTTGGTCACAATCGAACCGTGTTATTTCAACAATTTACAATTTTCCTGTGAATCTACTACACCTATAAATAACACAATGACTAACCAAAAAAAAAAAAATTGAATGAAGGAATATCAGATTTGTCATCTGTGGAAGCATTCGTGTCCACAATCCTAATACTGCATGGCAATTCATCACGTGTAATTATTGTTCATCACAAGCTGTTCATAGGCAGGGCTGTCATATATCCTTTTCCTCCACAACCCTATTCGTCTCTTTTCCGGGCCCTCATACTTAATTGAAGCATGCCGCACAAAACATATCTGTACATTTAATCACAACAATACGATCATTAAGCCACTAAATAGATATATAAATTAAAATTAAGATGACAAAAAATAAAATAGATCTCAACCTGATCGCCATCCTTGATTCCAAAAAGTCGGATATATGCCTTATAATCGAGAAGCTTCTGGCCTTTATAACATAAGCAAAAATGACCCCACACATGTGACCTGTGATCAGAAATTTGAATTGTTAAATCAAAATATTTTATGAAGCTGTGCAACATGTAGCAAATCTAATTACTAATTTCAAAACATAAACCCAAATCCATGCACATCGTATACGTGCGTACCATGAAATCATTTCATCTATTGGTGACTGATTAAAAACATCCTTCACTGCCTCTTTAAGTTCGGCCACCGTCGCCGTCTTCGGAACTTCCACCTCTACATACATTAAAAAGAAGAAGATTAATTACAATAAATAAATCATGAGCACGACTCAATCAAACATCTACATACAAACCTACCTAGAAAGCAATGGTACATGAGATATATAACATATATATGTATTAGTTTACTTACCAAAGCTAGAGCCGTCCAATTTGATAACGAAGAGCTTAAGGGGCTGTTGGGGCAGCTTTTGGTAGGCATGATTCTTTCCAACGCTGCCGCTGAGCAGCCGTCCAGGGGAAATTGATGCTGGAACACATAGGGTGCAGGCGGAGACGTTGGTCAACTCCGGTTCCCAAGTACCCACCTCCATTTCATACGAACACAAAATTATCCAACAAGAAATCTAAATTCCTCGGCCTGGGATGAGAAGTGAAGTACCCTATAAACGAAATGGATGGTTCTCCTCCGATGAATGCACTTGCAAGCTAGTTACAAAATAAATAAATAAATCTGTTGGTAGGCTTTAATGGAGTTAGCTAAGAGAAATATGAGAAACCAAAGCTGTTTGTAACGCGTCTGAGTTGAATGAAGGCTTAGGATTTGAGGTCGATGCATATTTCAGAATATATAGGGAGGGTGGTAAATCCATCAATTTCTAAAGCCCCTGCATACTAGGCTATATTTTTGGGCCACAGAGTCTTAAAAAAACCAATTCCAAGGGATTGGTTTAAAGGTCAAAGGTTTACCCTAAAAACTAACAATATGGGTGGGGGTGGTTGCATATGCCAAATTGATCATGGCTGGCCAAATGCTCTAATGAAAAATTAAAGCGGTTAGGTTACAGATTTAAGAAGCTGTGAGTAGCATCGGGTTACAAACAGAACGAAGCTCAACTTATGACAACCGACACCGACCAGAACTATAGCCTTCCACCGAATAATTTTTACATATTATTTGATGATTCAATAACTTTCCTGTTGTCTTTTTTTTTCCTTTGCTACCCGTGGACGACATGAAGTCCCACTTCTTCTCATTACGCTTATTTTGTCTTTAAAATACAGATAATATTTTTAAATCTGTGAGTTGAGTTGGTCGTCTCGTCACACCTCTATAAGAGATGTAATCAAACATTAACCTAATTTATTGGACTTTTGATTTATATGTTAATGTGTTCAACCTGATCAACAATTCATCTATGAAAAGTAAAAGAGTTGACTTGTTTGACTGACTATAAATGGTCAAAGAATAGAAGTTAACAGAAAATGTACATGAAGGGAAAGTCATTAAAAGTTTCTCTCCATCGATCACAAGATATTACATGAGAGAGAGAGAGAGAGAGAGAGAGAGGGAGATTGCATATCTGTCATCGATCTCTAGCTAGATCGAGAGGACTGCTTGGAATCAGAAATGAAGTATAGCATGCAGCATCTCTGCTGAGGATCACAAAGGAAGAAAGAAGAAGTAATCAGTAGTGCACATATAAGAAACGTATATATCTTACATTAGAATTGACATTTACGTATAGCCACTATAAACATATAATATAGTACACTAGTGAAATTACGGGGATCAAAGGTTCGAATTAACTTGTTGTGTTAATACAAAAAAAATTAAGAATAAAAGTGCACATTTGATCAGAAATTAACATTAAACTAAAACATATGCAATATCATCATGCAACAAGAGTCACTTAACTAAGAACATACATAGATGAGGTTAGAGAGAGGAAATCAATTGATCATGAAGAAGAGAGAAGAAGCAACAATTAGTTGAGAAAGTGATATTGGCGCGGCTCAATCTGAGATCAATTTACGGCAGCGGGCATGTGTAAATCTGTCTTCGGATTGAACCTCACCAACATCGCTTTCTCTTTTGCTTCCCCAACATGCATATCGATCCATCAAATGATCTTTCTTTCTTATAATTTTTATATATATAAAAAAAAAAACAGCTAAGCAATAAAGCAGATGTTCTTTCATTTCACCGTGACCCCGAAAGCACGTCAAGATGTCAAAACATGTGGGCTAGCTAAGGAGTTTGTGGCGATCTTTTTGCCTTTTATGCAGGGCTGCTGCCACTTACCTAAGAAAAGGGGCAAAAGTACTTGAATAAAGAATACCAAATATGGGCCCATGTCCCTCGAACCAAATTATAATCAATTAACTAATTAAAAAAGAACAATAGTGATCATCGGATAATATAGTTTTAAGGTAAATATCCTTGTACATAAATTAAATTAAGGTAGCTGCTAGGTTGGTGAAGTGGAAGGTCAAGGTATAGTGGATTGTAGGTGTGGAATTGAGCCAGTAGTGGGTCTGTTGGATTTCAAAATATATATAAATAACTTATAACCAAATGGCACCATCGATTCAAATGCATAGGTCCGCTATTGGAATTAAGTATATAATCAAGGTATAAACAAAAAATAAATAGTAATTGGAGTGGGATTTTAGAATCATGCATGATACAAACATTACATGCAGCAATAGAAAAGAACCTAATATGCAGAGTTTCTACAAGGATTCAACCTAAGAGGTTCAGAAATAAAGAACTCATGGAAAGAGATATGAACGTATTGCACACAAGATGAGGGAAGGGAAAAACAAGTGATATTTGAGAGAGAGAGAGCTGAGAAATGGATGAGTGAGGAGTGAGGAGGGAAGGGGTGGAGAGGCAGAGAATGTATACTGGTAGGTTTTGCCTCGGGATGGGAAGGGATGAAGAAGAAGAAGGTGAGTGGAATGATGTCAATGGGGAGCAACACTTACTTTAGGGTTTGTCATGCTTAGTTTGTACTCAAATAAATCAAACACCTTCCCCTGCGCATGCACCTGAAAATATTCTCCCACCAAAAAACCCAAACAACTCCTTTTGATTGTGCCTCTCTTTCTACAAAAAATTTATTAATATTTTAGCCCCCACTCTTTTCAATTTTGTATGCCATGCTTGCAATATGTGATTAATTAATTAACCTAAGAATAAGATGCTTGGCTTATATGTAATAATAATATTGTACGCCATGTATATAATAATATTAAATAAAACAAACCTTTTTTCTTTTTCTTTCTTTCCATAAAAACCGATCGATACCAAAATGTGGGTCGCCCTTGAATCTACATGTATATATTTCAGCATCATCATCCTTATACTGAAATGGTGAACAGAAAGTAGGATGAAAAAGATAAGGTGTTAAGTGGGTTAAAGTAGCAGAATATAAACCTCCTCTTATTATGCAAACTGTGTCAAGCTAACCTAATTTGTGAATGTAACCCAAAAAGATGGGTCAAAAGAGAAGATGATGTGTGCAGCCAGTCTTCAGAGAGAGAGAGAGAGAGAAGGGGACTCTTGGGAACAGGAGTGCAGAATGTCAGCGAAGGGATTTTGTCTAAAAAGAATAAGTTTTTGGAAGGGTAAAGAAGAAGTACGTACAAAGTTGCTATATCTTTCACACACACAACACAAATGCACACTTGGTTTAGAGAGAGAAAGAGAGAGACACACACACGTACACAAAAACAAAGACACAAACAGACACAGTTTTGTTTAATTAGCATGCAAGCAATTACACACTTACACACACGCTTAGAGCGAGACACACGCTTAGAGAGAGAGAGAAAGAGAGAGAGAGGCAGCCAAAAATAGGCGAAATAGGCAACAACCCGGAGCGGAGACACCGGCGCTAAAGAAGCCCTGCCTTGGGCCTCCACTGGGGGACACTTTCCTTGGTTTTGTCTACCTTTTCCCCCTTCACCTTCCCATACTTAATTATTTGCTTCTCTTTTTTTCAAGGGCCATCCATCCTTTGCCTTTCTCTTCTTCTCTTTGCAGATTTTGGGAAGTGCAAAAGAACCCTCCTCCTCTCACCCCCCCACCCTTTTATTTATTTAATTAAAACTCTCTCAAAATTATAACTAGTAAAAACTCTCTCTCTCTCTCTCTCTCTCTCTCTCTCTCTCATTATTTGGGGCGATAACAAGTTCGCGTGCCACTACCCAAACAGATTCCCCCACGCCTTAAACCATTCCAAATGCTCATCTTTAATTTCTTTCCACACCAGATCCTAGGTCTGTCTCTCTCTGTCTCTCTCTCCATCTTTAGTCTAAACTAAGACTGAGACTGAGAGAGAGGAGGTCAAAAGCAATTAATGAATTTCTACGCCTGCTCTCTCTTCTCTACTTTGCCTGCCTGCCTTTCCCTGGTTTCAGCTTATTTTCTCTCTTGTTTATTTGTTTGTGTCTTCTTTTTCAGCTTATGCGTATCATATCATATGCACAGTTGAAACAGCAATATTATTAATTTATTATTATTATTATTGTAGGTGAAGGAAGAAATATGAATTTCAAGGTCAGAAGTCAGCTGAATGCTGGTCTTACGGTCCTTTTGTTTTTGAGACTAGTCTTGATTAAAAGAGGTAGACAAAGAGACATCCATGGTCTACTCATAAGTGAGAGAGAGAGAGAGAGATTTCTTTCAACCTAAGCGGGGGGCCAATGCCATGTTGCATTCGCCTTTTTATATTCATCTCGAAAGCAAACATACTTTCTTAACAGTTTTCTTTTTCTTTCTTCAAACAGAATATTTGAAATCACTTTACTTCTCTCTCTCTCTCTCTCTTTGTTGTTAATTTCTTGCCTCCCACACTACACGCCACTTCCTTTTCTTTTCTTTTCTTTTCTTTTTGCTTTGTGTATAGTTGTTTCAGCAGCTGGCCTGTTGCCTAGAAAGCTAGAACGAAATATGCTTTTGCAAATATCAGGGAGGGATATCATTTATGTTTCAATCATGCATGGCATTCATTTGGCCAAAGTCGCCACATGCAAGCGAAGCTCCTACGACCTCCAAACTATTTTACGGGTTACCCAACACGAAACGGGTCGATGGTGGGGACAAGGACAAAAGCTCATCACCTGAGGCTGAGTTGAGCCATCCCTGTCGAGCCATTCATTTGTTGCACGACCCGACCTATACCTCACTGATTAAAGCTCATTCACTAACGTCATTGTACAAAATATGGTAACCACTAGGCTCTGCAAATTCTCAGAACCCCTCACAACTTTAAGAACAAGAGAGCCTTTTTCTCTGTTCAAAAGTGAGTAAAAGACTACAAGTTCCTGTCCGTCAAATAAATAAATAAAAATTGTGTCTAAATTATTCCAATGAGACGTCAAATCTACTTAATTAGCAAATTCCTACTGGCTGGTTCTTTCCAATGACAATAAAAGTCTATACTTTGGGACCTTAATTAGGTGAAATCAGAACTTGTGCAAATGTTTGATAAATTTTTAATCTTTTGAGAGTAGCTAATAAATAAACTATATCTATTTTTTATTAAGAAACCTCCTCATGAGGATACAAATCAAATTTTGATGCAGGCAGCCATTCCCAGTCATTGGAGCACTAGGAAAGACTTGGTGCAGCCAACCAGCCAGCCATGCTTGCTTCTTATTTCCCTCGGAGTTTACAATAAGCGTACAAACAGGACCCAAGAAAACCAAGAGATTGACCAGCAACATTCAACTTGAGGTAAAGCAGGGCAGTAGTTCACATGAAAAGTAAGCAAAATATTCACTGTCAGTAATGAGCATTGCTGGAATTACAGGCTAATGGGAGTTTATGCTTACCAAATCAAACGGGAGCCCACCAAACAGTAACCAGCCAAGTCCAACTGTAAAAAGATCCTAAAATAGCATGTACAGGGATGAGCTGCGATTGATGAGAGACAATAGTAGCATGCATATGATAAAACTATCACAAAACTGGAAATTTGCTTATCCATTTGGTCAGTTCAAGGTAAACAACTAAATGCTGATATCAAGTCCAGCAGTTTGGAGTAGCAAATTGAAAATTGAATAAGGTCTGCCACTTTAACCTAATGACTGTTCCGTAATAATTGAATACCACTTGAAAATCCTCACCATCTTGTGCTCTATGTTTGTCAAACTTCTGGGATAGTTTTGAAACAATTTGATGGATCGTTGGGAAAACTGACAGGGTGTGGCTCACCCAGCCGGTATCGTTTGGGCCATCACCTCTATGGGTTTTTTAATTGAACAAGAAATGATGTTGCAGAAATATTATATTGGTGAACTAAAACCTAAAGGTGACAACCACATGGAAGCCACTTGACTTGACATTCTAAACTCAACAGCAATGCGCCATTTTCAAGAAAACACAACTATATGATATCAATATGACATGACCAACACTTGAATTGTCGGCATGGTCAGGGTGGCAAAAGCTCCGAACAGAGTTACACACCTTCAAATTACCACAAATTGTCTGCGTGAGAGCTGAATTGAGTGTTGTATTCCAAAATACGCAATAATTTATTGAAAAAGCCATAACACAGGAAAAAAGCATCACAGCCTGCAAAACATTCCAATTCAGAAAGTTCAACTCACACATGTAAAAAATTCCAGTGATGGCAATGGCAGATATATGCAGTGCTCTCTAGTAAAGGAAAACAAAGTAATATAGATAAAAGGTAGTTTTCTGGAACCAGTCTAATATTTCTTTGAGAAAGGACTGTAGTTAATCATAAGCTAGTGACAGAGGAACTACAAGATGCGTCCGACCCAGATATTGATACAAAGTATTCAAAAAAGGATACAAAATTGAGTGAGTTGATGGATAAGAAAAAATAGAAGTATAAGTTTTAAAGAAATCGGACACTCACAAATTTCTGTCACATATTATGAACTCGCTAACAAGGAGTTGTTGGAGAAGGTTGTAGGCTAATGAAATCAAAGTGGAATAACATATCGACATGTATTAATAAGAAAACTTTCCAAGTGCTGCAAGGACAAGGGTTGTATGGAACAGCTAGAGCCTAAAATACTGCTCTCTTTTTTATGAGAAACTAGAATTCCGTTTAATGTTTTTTGTGCTTAAGCACCGGGCCAACCAGGAGACAGACATGTTGACAGGCTTGAGAATAAGTTAACAATACCAAGTAACAGAAACATGTCTGGCTCATTATGAACGAGAACATTAACAACCAGTTTGAATTTGAAGACGTAGAGGCAATGTAAAATCACCAACATAATTACCATACAGAATAGAGAGAGAGAGAGAGAGAGAGAGAGAGAGAGAGAGAGAGAGAGAGTATATATATATAGCAAACAGTGAAGAATCTGAAGAATATTGGTGGTTGTACTATCAGAATGACAATTCTTCTCATGAAAGGGAAGCACCTGAAACCCATGGGAGAATAAATGCGGGAAGTTTATCATCCTTCCTAGGTCACCACTGATTGAGGTCCAAACCAGCAAGATTGGTCCACATATTATTCCTACAACAATACAGAAAACAGATTTCTATAGAAAGTTAGTTTAACCAGAGTACATTTTTCATGGAAAAATGAACCTCAAGGTGAGCATATAAATTTCTGTTAGGACTTATCTCACCGTTGCACCACATTAGGCCAAAGGTACTAAGACCACTGGACTTACCTGCATGATTGAAACATATTATGTATTAATAATATTACCTAATACCCAAGTCTCGCATAAATAAATGAGGCATAAGATGACAGAAGAACGAAGATACTACCAATATGAGCTATAGAAGCAAGATATATTGCTGTACAGATGTTTGCAACAAAAACAACACCATAACTATAGGCATCAAATGACAAATCCCGAGCTCCGGCAACAACTGCACCAAGTATAATTATCCCGACACTGATGAAGTCCTTGGATGCATTCCATTAAGGGTGTTAGCAACACAAACCTAATCACAAAACTATTAAGGAAAAGTAAATGATTGCGTACCTGCCCACAACAGGATGTGAATGTTTCTGCCTTGTCAAAATATACTCAACAATCATTGTAAAAGCAACTGTAGTCCGTCTGAGGGTGGTGTACATGGGAACATTTATACCACGCACTGATGCCATTGTTACCAACTTTCACCATAAGAATTATAAATATCCATCGTTAGAAGGAAACTCGTATATAACGTCTAGCCAAAAAATGTGAAAGATTATCCATACTATACCTACCATATAAAGCAAATAGGATACTGCAAGAGGAAGAGTGTGAACCAACGTCTTAAATGGTACCAGAGTTACTGGATTGTTTGTAGTGATCTGTGGTTCAGTTGTGAAAGAAATAATCTTCCAACATTTCATTGCGTACAGCAATATACATGATGATAGCATCTGAAAAAAAAAATGGTACCATTCAATTAGCTAATGTGCTACCTGGAAAAGTCATATAAAAACCAACTTAATTAGCAAATGTGCTACCTGGAAAAGTGTGATGACATTTGCAGATGGGAAATTGTATGAAGACAGGGCTGCTTTGTTGAACATTATCAAGAGAACTGCAGAATGAATAGCTGCCTTCATGAACAATTATTGACCAATACATTGAAATTTGAAAGGTAGGTAACAGAAACTAGACACAAACAATTGCGACCAGTGCACTTCTGACATCACATACCACTGAGAGAGCAATGCTGAAAACCCCATTAAAGAAAAACAAGTATAAGCAGGTAAAAACAGAGCATTAACAGTTCTTCGTTTTCAATTATTTTTATCTCATCTTCGTCCAAAAAAAAATAATAATTATTTTTATCTCATCAACAGTCCTTTGTTTGTCTGAGTCCTACATATTTCAAAACCTTCCAGTCAAAAGTATATCTGCATAATTCAAAACTAACATCACCCACTACCAGTTACTACAATACCATCTCACCTGATCACAGGCATGCTCTTAACTTCAACAATGGCCGTGCAAAAGTTAAACTTACTTCTAATTCTTTGTCTAAGCTTACAACGACCAGAAAAGTCTCCTCTGTCCCTTCACTGTCACTGACTCATTGCTCCATTATTTATGGAATTGACCACATCAATGCGTCCACCATAAGTTCCTTCTGCCTTCCAAGGCCCCCACCACATTATCTCTTCAAAGATCCTTTAGTCAATAACTACATATATACGTCACTGTATACACTGCTATATAAACAAATAGAATGTATTTTTTATCCAAGGAAACAAAATACACCTCCTCACTCAGCCTAACAGTAATTATTATGTTAATCACATCAATAAGAAAAAGAAAAAAACCGAAATCTTTTTAAATTCCAAAACTCTTTTCTTTTCCTTTCTTTTCTGATCAACCAAACAGAGCAAACCATACAAGAAAAAAAGAAAAAGAAAAAAAATGGCACACCGATCATACACGCATTAGTGCTGAAAAGAACAAAAAGAGACAAGGTAGAAGAAGCTGGCATGGGCAATGGAGAATATATAAGAGAAAGAACCTGCGGAAGCCATGTAGGAAGTGGCAGCATAAGCTCCTTTCCTGGTCATTTTGGGGCCTTTCTTAAGCCTCTCTTGGCTCTGCGAAGAGCTAGAGACTGGTAATTTCTGGTTGCTTTCCGCGTCCATGGCCAACCAAACACGCCCTTTCTTTCTCACAGTCACAGACTCGCAGACTCGCAGACTCTCACACTGTTAAAACTTTTGATACTGAAAAGGAAGCTTTTGAGCAGCTTTTTTGACGCAGTGGGCAGTGAGAGAGTAAACAACTATTATATAGAGCCTAGAGAGAGAGCAGAGAGGGGAGGGAATATTTGAGGAAGGAATGATGATTCTTGGGCGTAAAAATATTTATAGAAATTTTTTATACTAGCAAATAAAAATAAAAATAATAGCTTTACCAATAAAAATTAGGGAGTAATCATACCTTAATCTATACCATGGTCATATTTGGTGATTAGAATTGCATTGGATTATAACTTATATAAAGTATTATTGGATTATAAAGTATGATTGAATTGCATTGGATTATAAGGTATAATTGAATTACATTGGATTATAAAATATAATTAGATTGCATTCGATTATATTGAATTGAAAATAATAACACTAATCTAATAATGTGTCTGATATTAAAGGGATCCAATCGATGTTGTTTTTAGACCATCAAACATCTCGCTGGGATTACGAACTACATAATCCAACTAATCAAACGTGCCCATATTCAAAAGAGAACTTTCTATTTCAACCCAATAGATTAAAAAGACAGTTATATCCATCTTGTACATGCAATAGCAATACAAGTTGAGTTAAACAATAAGGGTGACATAGTAATTTACCATAAAATTTTTAATCTCGACCTTCTCTCCACTCCTTTCTGTTTCTCAGCACATCCGTGCAACATAGGGCACATGCATAGCATGTATGATGGTTAGATGTACATGCATAATGATGTGAGTTGTTTCTTTTATAATAAATTTCATTTTAACCATAGGAGGTTAAATTGCTTGAGTGAATATTTATTTATTGTCTAGCACATTGCAATTTCTTTTTTATAAAAAAAAAAATACTGGAATTACAACTTATCTACTTTCTTCTAATTTATTGAAATCAAAATTAAAATGTTCCATATAAGCTAATGTGATGCCGTGTTTTATTCACTTACTTTAGGGCTATCCTCCATCCATACATGAAATTCTGAAGACACAATCGCATGCTTTTTAAAAAAAAAAATGTGATATTTGATTATACTCACAATGGATAAACCACGGCATCACATAAGAGAGTATTAAAAGAATTAAAAAGGATTCTCGCTTCATCTACTGAGGCACCCTAAAAAAGGCTTGAAATAACTAATTTGCATCCATTTCCAAGAGAACAAAACGGTGCCCCATATGACTTGCAATCTACTTCCCCCAAAATAGGAGCAAAAAGCTCCGTTGCTTTGGGAGAAAACATTTCATGTAAACCTTTTGAAGTAGCTAAAAGTAAATCACGATTACCATCTCGAATCACTACCCACAAGCCCTTAACACCAAGCTGTAAGTTAATTACACCATCAACATTTAATTTAATAAAATTACATTTAATTTATTCACTTATATTTAATCAAGATTTAACCTAATTACTTATGATAAATAAGATAAAATAAGCTATAATCATTTGGTCCAACAACAACTAAGCTTCCATTTTATTGAAAAAATGTATTGAGTTCAAATTTTATCGTTGTTTGTTGGATAAAAATTAATATTGTTGACTAAATTAATAAGTTCAAATTAGTATTATTGTATTCTATAATTTTATACCCATATTTAGGATCATAACCAAAAAAAGTGTGGGCCTGAAAACTTGCCCGAAAAAGTTTGAGTGACAACCTACGTTGGGCTTGGCTTTGGTATACGTAATGTGAATTTTATTTTATTATAGTCTAAACTAGGGTCTAGCGAAATCTATTGAATACGTAACGTGAATTTTTATTTTTATTTTTAATACACGTGAATTTTAACATTAACCAACTTGCAAAACCTATTGATAAAGAAAGTTAGCAAATCATTTCATTTCCGTCACACAATGCAAATCAAGCGACGTTTCCAAAAGGTAACTTAAACTGACGGCAGATATCCTATCGGATGCATACAACAATTTCACACCTGATAAAGGCCCAAGCTATCCCAAAAGAAGTAGACCCCATTATGCGGACGCGCCATACCGCTTACGTGTACACACCTCGCCATAAGAATTCTCCACGGTGACCCCACTGCCTTGGCCACTAAGGAAAAAAGCACCATATCCTCTCTGTCTCTTTTCTCTCCCTCTCCTTCTATCTTTCTGCAAATCGTAAGCGATGCAAGAACCAGAGCTTCACGATCTCTCCGACGACGCCGATTACGCTGCGTCACAGCAACACGTAAGCATTTCTGCGGAAACGCAAACTTTAATTTCATCATTTGGGAGTTCTTTACGATAATTAGTTAGGATTTATTTGGTTTAGGGCTCGGCGAGCATGATGCGAAGCGATAGTGGGAAACACAGCTCGTCGAGCGAGCACGATGGCGCCGAGGTGGTTTACTTGAAAGATAATGTTACCATCCACCCAACTCAGTTTGCCTCGGAGAGGATTAGTGGAAGATTGAGGCTAATCAAGCAAGGCTCGTCTCTATTCATGGTAATATTAATTAATTAATCAATTAAATTAATCTTGATCGTTTGATTACTAGTGTATTTATTAATATTTTAAAGAATTATTAACGTGTTTGGTTCGCTGTAATTTGTAGACATGGATTCCATACAAAGGGCAAAACTCGAATGCTAGGCTGACTGAGAGAGGTTCTGAAGCTAATTTTTAGACTTTAGAATTTTAATTTTAGTTCATTTATTAATGTTTTTGTTTCTTTTTCCTTTTTCTTGACTCGTGGTTTGTGTTTGTGGTGGTGTAGATAGGAATCTTTATACCATAAGAGCAGTGCCATTAACGGAGGTTCGGTCCATTCGTCGCCACACTCCGGCGCTTGGATGGCAGTACATTATTGTCGTTTTGTCTACAGGTTAAACAACCTGCACATGATTTTTAAGGCCTAATTGTATATGGTGTTGGCTACTGTTTGTTTGGTTGCTTTAGTAGACACTCTTGCTCGTGCAATAAGTAATTGGAATTATCTCTTCAGGAGCCTGTGTACATGATAATACTTACTATTTAGAGGGTAAGCCACAACGGTTGCCTAGTTGGTGTGCCCAATGTTCCCAATGTGGTGTGATCCCAATCCGTATGACCAATGTGGAAGTAGATATATTAAGTAGAGAAGTCAAATCATATTATGTTACAAAACTCCAAGTACATTTTATAATATCAGAATTTTTTTCATAGCCCAACGCTTATTTCAGATATTTCAATCTAAAAGGAAAAACTTAAGAATTTTAGATATTATCGTACTGTGTAAGAACAATTTGCGCATACAATTCAAGAAATCAACTAGATATGCTAACAAATCTTGTACATGGTCTAAGCTTAAAGGAAAGAAAAGGCATGGAATGTGTATCATCTTGGTTTTTTCTTTTATTGCAAATTAGTTTTAGCTTCACTGTATCTCATCACGTTTTTCTAAATTTAGCATCAATTTACTATTTCTGCAGCTAGTTACCTATGTTCTGTTGGTTGGTTTATTTAGGCTTATATCTAAAGCTGCATACTCTTGTATGATGTTTTGTTCATATTTGTATATGTGGTCTGAAAGGAAGTATTTTTCAGGACTCGCGTTTCCTCCTCTGTACTTCTACAATGGAGGAGTCAAAGAGTTTCTTGCTACAATAAAGCAACATGTTTTTATTGTGAGGTTGGTTATTGTAAATAGACGTTATATTTATCTGTTCTGATCTTGGTTTCTCCATCGCAAGTTAAAAATAGATAGAAGTCCATATATTGGAACTTGGAATTAAATTTTTATCCAAAAGGAAAGGTTTATGTGGAACCTCATTTCAGAATGAAGTAATCTTTATGCTTATGCAAGCGTGTGTTGTGTGCACATAAGATCGACATATCTTTGTGCTTAGTTTGTAGTACTGGTATGCCATTTTGCACATAAGTGGTGTTCCAACTGTAGGTTTATTCCACCATAGTTCGAATTTTTATTCTGTTTAACATTTCCAGGTCAGCTGATGATGCAAATGTATTTCTGGTGAATGATTTTCAAAATCCTCTCCAGGTATGCATTGTTTGAGCTAATGAAACCTCTCCTTCAAGATGAATGTCATTTTATATTACTATTTACTTCGTACCAACAATTTTTTTTTCTGCATGCCCTTAGCACACAACAATTATTATAAGGCAGTCATTTTTCATTAGTTGATAGATACATAATATTTTTGTGCAGCAAAATTGTCCTGCATCACAATGGAACATCTATTTCTCTCTCTGTGGAGGAATAGTGATCCACTTATATTAAAAATGATGAAGCGTAATAAGAGAATTTCTTAAATGCATATCATGCTTTCATTAAACATTAACCGGCTTGCCCACTCCCTAGTCTCTCCTATCATCTATTTCCAGTAACACTGTTTTGTTGACATAATAACATGATGTTCTTCATATGTTTTATGGCTTAACCTTGTAATAATGTGAAGTCTGACCAAACTGAAAGGTGGAATTGTTCTGCTCTTTATGTCTTGTCAACTATGGTCTTCTTGATGATACTGCCAAGCTGGAAACTGCAATGTTTTCTTATGATTTATTGGTTTTTTCAGAGAACTCTATCATCTTTGGAGTTGCCTAGGGCTCTTTCTGTTGCAAGTGGACAATCTACGTCCGTCTCAGTTGGCGAGACCTCTTCAGATGAAAACCAGGAGAGAACAAGTGGGGATGTTTATGAAGGAAGTATAAGCAGTTCTCAATACAATGAGAGGCAAAGACAAAGGGTTCATGATCCTGCACGAGATCTTTCAATTCATGTGTTGGAGAAGTTCTCTCTTGTGACCAAATTTGCTCGGGAAACAACTTCACAACTCTTCCGTGATAATCATAGTAATGGATATGGTGCTATAGAAAGGAGAAGTAATAACCAGTCCCCCATTGATTATCCTCAGAAGGCATCTAATGATTCAAACAAAGTCTCTGATAAAACTCCTGTTCCCCCAGATTCACTGGAGGTAATTCTTCTATTCTATCAAGTTAATTAATGCAATTTGGGAAAAATTGTTGCAATCAATGTGTTGTCAAGTCGTAAATGGACTCGATGAATTTTTTATGGCTTGCTGTTCAATAG